CCTACATACAGGCTGTGGAGTTTAGCATTCAAGTATCTCCATGTGAGTGAGACAGCTGGTGAAATTTGCCCACATGTACCTCCTTGCTAGAGGGCATTTGTTATCCCACAGTGGATTTTCTCCACTTTCCCCTTCTGGCACTGTCCCATTTTATAAGACTGAATGGAGTAGAATCATAAAATCATAGAAAAAGGAAAAGACCTTGAAGATCAAGTCCAACCACAACCTAACCATATTAACCTAACTCTAACAACCCACTGCTAAATCATGTCCCTGAGCACCACATCCAAATGGTTTTTAAACACATCCAGGGATGGTGACTCAACCACCTCCCTGAGGAGCCTATTCCAGTGCTTAACAATCCTTTTGTAAAGAAGTTTTTCCTGATGTCCAACCTAAATTTACTGTGGCACAACTTAAGGCCATACTGAGTACTCTCAAGTCTAACCAGAGCAAAGGTCCTTCAGGTGATAGGACAGTCGTGAGAAAAGGGGAAGAAGCAACTTCCAGTGCTGCTGCAGGGATAAATAAACCGGTATGTAGGTTGAAGCTTGCTGCAGTAATAAGCAAATCCAAGTGTGGTTTGAATCCCCTACTCTTTCAATGTCTCATGTGTGGGATTTCTCCCACTTGACTGCTTTTCTCCATATGCTATAGTAAAGAAAAATGTGGAGAAGGGTGTCAGCAGATCAGATATCAAACTTATAATGCTGGCTGCACCAAGGAAATGCAGGTAGGTGTCGAAGCACATTTCTATGTGATATTTTGCTGATGCCTTTATTGCAAAATTGCTAGATGTCTTGAAATAGTTCTTGTCAAAAGTGAAACATGAATGATAACTAATCTATCTTTGTAGAGCTCTATAAATTTGAATTTCCATGTCTTCGTGAATACTTGAGTGAGGAGAGAAATGGGTTAATTTTGAATAGAAAATAGATTTTCCCAGTCTTTGTGGTCAAGTACCCATCAAAAGACATTGTGCATTCTTTATGGATATTTTTGCAGCTTAAAAGTGTATACTTTTAAAGCTTGCTAGATTAATTATCATTTTGAGAAACAAGTGCTCTGTCAGATAGGCATCAATCAAAAACTCTCTTTGGAGAAGAATTACTTGCCTCCAATACTATCACTCAGACACTGGGAAGCTTTTTGTATTCTGGGAAACATCAAGGTGATGTGCTGTTTGATCTGTGTTGCCAAATCAAACAGTTAGTGCCTGAGAATCTGTTCTTGCGGATCACTGTTTGGTATGTCTCTTTTTTTCTGTCTTCTTTTTCTTTTTCCTCATTATTACAGCTACTGTGGCCTGTTAGACACTACAAGTCATCCAGTCATATAAAGAAATAAGATCAGAATTTTTATGGATCTCAGAAGGAACCTCAATATTTGTTGGATTTCTAGAATGAAAAAACCTGGATTCCTCCTGAAAGCTAGCATGAGACTTAATTCTAAAGGCTTAGCTAGCCTTTATGCTCAGCAAACAGTATTTCCATACAAAAGGCATTACAGATGCTTTTGTATTTTCTTTCACATAGAGCTAAAATATGTTGCATCAAGTAGCATTTTTTTTGCTAAGGTAAGAATTTATTTGGAAAAATGAAAAAGATGGTGTGATCAGACAGCTAAAGAAAGATGGATCTAATTTGTCATTACACTTTTTGAAAAAAATGCACCCTGGTTTCATTGAGGATAGTTGAAATTGTGGGAGCAGCTCTTTTGCTGAACTTCTCAAGGCCAGTAAGGGAAGCAGTGATCAGAACTGCAGCTATCTAAAATGCACAGCAGCAGCCAAAATGAAAGCTACCAAATTTCCCCTGACCAGATTCCTGCTTCACCTCCTTATGAATTGTTGCAAAAAACCCTCATCACTTTATCTTTTTTCTTCTTTAGTGGGAACCAACCCTGAAGAGAAACAACAAGCAGGATTTGATGAAAAGTGGTAAAGGATATGTTGAATTACCTTTGGCAGGCTATGGAAAGTGTTGATGCTCTCTTGATAGATAAGCTGTGAAAGTCCTGCTGCTCAACATGAGAGCAAGCTAATATTTTCAATAGTAAGACTGCTTAAAAAAAACAACCCCAAAACAGTTTAAATGAGAAGAAATGTTCACAATACCATTCTTGTCCCCTGTAAGCATTACAGCCTTTGATCTGTGCACTCTTTCCAAAAGAGCAGAGCTGAAGATTCTCATTTAACTCAGCTACAGGCAGCAGAAGAAGGTGCTCTCTTTACTTCCAGCTTCACTTGGTGCTGAAGTGCTTATTTTATCTTCTTTTGTAGGGCCTGGCCGCCCCTTCACAGCTATTGATTTCTCCCATCAAGGACCTGCCTTTGTAACTTGGCACAGGTACCATTTGCTGTTGCTGGAAAGAGACCTGCAGGTTAGCTAAACAGCCTCTTTCTTTTCTCACACAACTCTCTTTTGCTACACATTTTTGTTGCTTCAGCCAAGGGTGTTATTTCCTTGGACTGATTCTTATACAAACTGTCAAGAGTGTTTGCTCACAGATCCTTTTTTATGTAAAGGGAAATGATTGCTTTCAAGATATTGAGGACTGAACAGTTTCTTACTGCAAACAGTGATATGAATGCTGTTGTCAAGATTTTTCTTCTTCATAACGTAGAACAGAAGATGTGAATTAGAAATGCTCTTTAATGAAAACAAAATAAACATAAAACACCCACCTATGTAAAACCTGTGGATAGCATCTGCTGGAAAGCAGGCAACAAGCAAGAAAGCCACATCAAGGATTTCCCTCTTCAAGTATGCTGTTATATATTTATTAGTTTCATATATTTAGTGTAGGTATTTTTACTGCTTAGTCTCTGAGTTGGTAGAAAAGCTAACATAGACAAAAAGAGGGCAATCCAACAGCAGTTTAACTATTCACAGCATATTTTCTGGGTCTGACTTAACACCCCAGTGTTTTGAAAGTGCTGGAGCAGCACTGTGAAGTGTGCGTAGTTACCTTCAAGTGAAAAGCGGAATGCAGAATGCCACCCAGTGGCATCATCTGCAGGAATCACTTTCTTTCTCTTTCCTTTGAAGGTGATCCTCCATTAATGCATTTCTGTCCGTTGCAGCGACTGATGGGCAATGAGTCCTTTGCGCTTCCCTACTGGGACTTTGCTACAGGTAGAAACACGTGTGATGTGTGCACAGACCAGCTCTTCGGAGCACCGCGGCCAGATGAGCCAGGGCTGATCAGCCTGAACTCCAGATTCTCCCGGTGGCAAATAGTTTGCAACAGGTATGGAAATATCTAGGGAAAGCCTGCATACTGACCAAATCTTGTTTTGGCTTTATAGAAAATTAGAGATGAACTGAAAAATCTTTCTCATTTCACTGGGTGAGATTTTAACTCTGATGTGTTTAGTGCTGTTTTGGAACTGTGGAGACTATGGAACACCCTGAAACTTTGAAATCCCTCAAATCCATGATAAAGCACATGGACAGATGTGATAGTGACATCCAGCATGGCTCTAATAAAGGCAAATCCTGCCTGATAAATTTGGTGGCCTTCTAAAATAGGGTTAAAGTGTTTGTCAATAAGGAAAGAGCAACTGATGTCATCTACCTGGACTTGTGCAAAGCATATGACACTGTTCCACACAACATCCTTCCCTTTAAAATGGAGAGACATATATTTGATGGATGAACCACTTGGTGGATAAGGAATTGACTGGATGTCCACATTCAAAGTATTATGGCCAATGGCTCAATGTTCAGGTGGAGACCAGTGATGAGTGGTGTTCCTCATTGGTCTGTACTGGGAGCAGTACTGTTCAGCATCTTTTTTTGGCAGTGTGGACAGTGAAATTGAGTGCACCCTCAACAGGCTTTCAGATTACAATAAGCTGAGTAGTGTGGTAGACACACTGGAGGGAAGGGATGCCATCCAGAGGGACTCGGACAGGTTTGAGAGGTGGGCCTGTGTGAACCTCAGAAAGTTCAACATGGTGGAGTACAAGGTCCTGTACCTGGATTGAGGCAATCCTAAGCATAAATACAGGCTGGGCAATGATAGAGAGCAGCCCTGCAGAGGACGACTTGGAGATGTTGATTGATGAAAAACCAAACATGAGCTTGCAAAGTGCACTTGCAGCCCAGAAAACCAAACATATCCTTGGCTGCATCAAAAGAAGTGTAATCAGCAGGTCAGGGGAGTGATTGTCCCCTTCTTCTCTGCTCTTGTGAGCCCTCACTTGCATTCAGCTGGGACCTGCAGTGGAATAGGATGAGGAGCTGTTGAAGTGGGTCTAGAGGAAGGCCACAAAGATGATCAGAAGGCTGGAGCACCTCTTCTGTGAAGACAGGCTGAGAGGACTGAGGTTGTCCAACTTGCAGAAGAGAAGGCTCCAATGGCCTTCCATATCTGAAGGAGGCCTACAGAGGAAGAACACTTTATCACTGAGCATAGTGATAGGACAGGGGTAACAGTTTTGAACTAAAAGAGGGTATGTTTAGAGTAGATATTAGGAAGAAATTCTTCACTGTGTTGGTGATGAGACACTGAAACACATAGCCCAGAGAAGCTGTGGATGCCCTATCCTTTGAAGTGTTCAAGACCAGAGTGGATAGGGCTTTGGGCAACCTGATCTAGTGGGAGGTGTTCCTGCCCATGGCAGGAGATTGGAACTTGATGAACTTTGGTGTTCCTTCCAACCCCAAACACTGTTATTCTGTAATTCTATGACTGACTTCAAAGTAGCTGAGATTTCACACAGAAGACAACACGGAGAGAATACATTCTTGCTGTCAGCTGTCTGAAGGCGTATATTGATTTGGTTAAATGCAGGGCTTTGATGATGGGTTCATGTACAGGACTGGGGCAGAATAGCATAAGATGCTGCCAGTTATAATGCTCATATCACATCCTGTCAGATGTGGGGTAGCGTGCAGTCAGCCAGATGAAGATTCTAGGAGCTCAAGGCTTTTCAGGAAAGAGTCTCTTTCTGTGGATACCTAAAGTGCTACTTGAAATTCTGCCTTTAGGCACCAATTGGCTTTAACCCTTGCCCTTACTTTTTCTTTAAGATGATAGACTTTTTTTTTTCTTGGATACTGAAATGACTAAACTCTTGTCTTGTCAAGGTTAAACAACAGAGGGCTTTTGTTTATTTCAGGAATTTTTGAAAATGCCGTTTCATTTTACACTGAATAGCAAAGTTTTTTTTCTTCAGTGTTTCACTGTTTTTCTCCTCTTCCTTCCCTCTTTCCTTCCCTGATAGAAGGGGCTTGCCCTTTACTAACTAGTAGGCAACATCTGCAACAGCTCCTGAAAAATGCAATACATTGCTATCTCTTTTCTTCTAAAGGAGTGAAGGATGGAAAGTGAAAACTTGCTTTCTGTCATACTTATATTTTCTTTAGCTCATCCCACAGAGGGACTTTCCTGCTTTTTTCGTCTTTCTAAGAATGAAAAACTGTCCTTGCTCAGATTCTCTTAGACTGTCTGTTAAAAACTATTATTGGGAGGAGAGGAGGTATGAAGGGAATTTCACTTGCTTTTTCTCTCCCTCTGCAGAAGGTGAGCCTAGATACTCTGTCTGAATGACTGACCTTCACCAGTCAGTGGAAGCCATGGCCTGGGAACAGTTCAGCTATAACTTCAGCTTCTAGTCTGTGGGAAGGGAACTGAACCTCCTTATGGGATGCCTGTCACGAAGATCTGCTCTCTTACACCTATAGCCAGGGCCCCAAAACCCCGGCCTGGCTGAGGCAGGCAGGGCCCTCTGTGTCCGTGTGTCCCAGCCCCTGCTCCAGCAGCACCACCCAGAGCAGGGTGCCCAGGCCCACGGCCAGGCGGCTTCTGGAGAGCTGCAGGGAGGAGACCCCACAGCCTCTGGGCAGCCTGTTCTTTTCTTATGCTATAGCAAAAAAAAAAAAAAAAAAGGAAAAAACCAAACAAACCAACAAAACAGGCTTCAACCCTTTCTCCTAACTTGTGCTACTTTTTGTTTCATGCTCAGCTTGAATGTTTACAACCGCCTGGTGACACTGTGCAATGGCAGTGATGAAGGACTGCTCCAACGAAGGCCGCCGAGGGACTCGGGTGAACAGCTGCCCACTGTGGAGGACGTCAGGAGATGCCTTTCCCTGCATGAGTTCGACAGCCCTCCGTTTTTCCGCAATTCCAGTTTCAGCTTCAGGTTGGTCCTAGAGCTAGCTGAATCATGGCTATTTTTTATTTGTGCGTTTTTCAGCAGTATGTGGTTACTTAATGCTGCTTTTACCTGTCCACAGGAATGCACTGGAAGGCTTCAATACACCAGAGGGAGCCCTGAACTCGCCAATGCTGAACCTCCATAATTTGGCTCACTCTTTTCTGAATGGAACCAGTGTTCTCCCTCACGCAGCTGCCAATGATCCCATCTTTGTGGTATGGCTTTTTCCTCCAGCATGAGTGCAAATGGCTGCATCTCCGAGGCAGCTGTCTCACCACAAATTAGCAGAAATAGAAGAGAATTCCCTAGAAACAAATTCTTTAATTACAAAAGGACAACTCTTTCCTTGAATTCTGTCACACTTGTGTGGTGGGCAAATAAAGATGGTAAAAAAATACAGGATGATTTGTAAAACATAGAATGAGTTTCTAGGAGGAAGTGCTGCCTATCAGACTGCCCCTGAATCCTTTTATTAGGTGGTATCTGAAGTTAATGTCTTTTACCAGATGATTTTACAGCAACAAGGAAATACTGAAAATTGGGTTAATTATTTTAGAGCAGTGGACTGAGAAGTTTGTTTCTTTGTCTCAAACTTCAGAAGCTAAAAAGAATGACATCTAATATCAAGATCTCTTGAGGAATAGAAGTGATTTCATTGGTGCATGAGTACATTACTGCACTGCAGTGAGCAGCACGAACAGCAAAGTGCAAATAAAAAGCCATCAGCTGACTCTGCTACATATCTTCCCTGCCTAATGAATTCATGCTAATTTTGCCTTCCTCTTTGTTAAATTAAACCACAGTGATTATACAGAGAAACTGTAAAACAATTCATTACTTTCTTACCTTTATTTTTAGATTGCAATCTTTTGATGGAGAAATTAGTCAGAGTAGTTATATTCTCTGGTTTGTTTACTTAAAAATTCTTGAATTCCTATGTGAATTCTTTTTTATATTATCAAATCTTTAATTTACCGTACTATAATTTTATGTGCAGGATTATCCATGAAACACTTTTGAAGTTTTTTCCATGGTGATAAATGAAAAGCATAAGTACGCTAGAAATTAGTCTGGGCTGTCCCAGACTGTTGTCTGAACCCCTACATAAGCCCTGTAATTTTAGCATCCTCACCAATCCCTTGTGTGGTTGGCTCAAGATCTGTGCTGAACTAAGGAACTGCTTTAAATGCTTTTGAGCTCAGAAAGAGCATAATAAACATGTGTGCCCATATATCAATTTGCAGGTTCTTCACTCCTTTACTGATGCCATCTTTGATGAGTGGATTAAGCGGTTTCATCCCCCTGACAATGCCTGGCCTGAGAAGCTGGCTCCTATCGGTCACAACAGACTGTACAACATGGTCCCTTTTTTCCCTCCTGTAACCAATGATCAACTCTTCCAGACTGCAGAGCAGCTTGGCTACACCTATGCCATTGAACTGCCAGGTATGTCTCAGAGGCCAAGAAATGAGACAGCTCGACTTTTCAATGACATAGACATTTGGAACATAAGGCCCTGCTCCCAAAAGCATGGGTCTGTTCACCTGGTCACTAGCAATCCCATAGCATAGCTTAGGCAGCTGTAACTCATCAGGTAAGCTGTAATAGCTGCAAAAATGTCTATACTAGTTTGCTTCTTCTCTGCAGCAGAATGCATGAACTTGAAGTCCTCTGGCATCATTCATGCTCCTTTGGGGCTAAGGAACCTTTGATTTTAGTTCCTCTTCCCAGGACTAGTGATGCCTGTTACAAAATGCTTTAATCTGTCAGAGGTCAGGCACTCTGCCAGGGAGCTGGTTTCTTGACATTTGTTTTGCACACAGCCCCATAGCATACTGTCCCATGAAACACATTAGAGATGTACTCTGTTAAAATTTGAATGCCCTGGAGAGATATCTCTAGGTGTTTTGTATTATAAACCCCCAGTTTTAAAGATTTTCCTTGCCTGTATGCCTAAGGGTTTTTCTGCTTGTTTGAAATTACCTTTGACACAAATTGGACAAAAGAACGTCCCCTAGGCCCTCCAACCAAAGCCCCTCCAACAAAATCAGAGAATTTGAAAGACAAGCTACAAATATTTGCAGAAGGCACAAGTATAAGAAATGTATAAAAACCATGCTTCAACTGCTTTACTAAAGATTAAATCTGAGCAGTTTCTTTCTCCATATCTGTATTTCTTTGAGAGGCAGTTGGTGCTTATCTAACCTATGTGGACAGAATTTTCTTCTAAGTGCTTGCCATGTATCTGTGGTTTTAATCTGTGGAAACAGTTAAAAGGTCTACAGATTGTGATGGATCAAAACCCCTCTCCTCAAGCTGCGTTCATGCAGGAGAACCCTGATTTATGGAGGCATGCTGGTTGCCTTGGAAGTGCTTTTCTCAGAGACATTTCTAGAATTTCCCCTGAAAATGGAATCTTCTTTTACAGAGTTTCAGTTTTCCTCCTCCTGGGCCACTGTCCCTGCTTCTGCTTGGGAACTGCTGCTACTCTTTGCCATAACTTAGCTAGAAAGGAACAAAGGCAGTTTACTATTCTGCTGCTTCTTAACTCCTGCCTAAATAAATTATTAGCTCTCCATGAAGCAGTGTACCTGTCCCTGTATGGATAGTTAATGTTAGAGAATAACGGTTTTTACATTAAATCCCCTCTTTTAACTACGTGTATAACTTGCTAATTCTTCTTTACCGAACCAAGTTATAAATTAACATATGTAGTGCACTCCTGGCTCTTATTTGAGAGACAGCAGCAAACAACACTGGGAATTTGCTTCATTAAAGAATGATTGTTTTCAACTCTTTTTTGGCAGAGAAAGCACATGGGGCACACAATGTGTAGTTGCTTTTATAGTCAACGTGGCATCTACTCAAGCACTCTGGAGTTAAGCCTTAATATCTAAACATCTTCTGAATACTTTAAATCCCACTGAGAGTTTTTTTGTGAATATTTATTCAAACATTATTGGTACGACCTTAGTATTTGTAGTATTTTGTAGAACAGGACAGCAGGCAATTGTTGTTGCTGAAAGCATAAAGGAAAAGACAAAATAGAGTCATTCAATCAAGTGGAGCTGAGATGAAGTCATTTACACAGGATTGCTGTAAAAGTGGACAATATTATCTCAGAAGACAGTAGTTCCTTAGAAATGGTTTGAAAGCAGAGGTTGTAATCTGGAGCTGGCCAGAAGAACTGTGCTAAGCAGTGTTTTCTGTTAAAAATTTGACAGTGGACTGCACTGTGGTCTATTAAAATAATAATAAAAAAGAATGTTTTCCACTGATCAGAATATCTTGAAACAGCTATATGGAAATATCCCCCTAGGAAAAATTGCTTAAATCATTCATACTTTTGGCCAAATTAAATAAGACCGTAATTTAATGTTAATCTTTCCCATTCCCAATACTTCTATTTGTTTGAAAGACTGAAGCTTAAATTCAGCCATAGTCTTCTCTGGCAGGAAATGTCTCTGGTGATGGTGTGTTGGTTACACAGTGACTTCTCTGGCAGGAAATGTCTCTGGTGATGGTGTGTTGGTTACACAGTGCATTACCACCTTCCACTTTGGCCCTTGGTTCTCTTAGACACACAGGCAATAGCAATGAGCAGGCTGTGGGAAATTTGCTTCCTTCCACATGATTTGAGAAATGAAATCGCTGTCTGTTTTCACTTCAGATATTTTATGCTTCCAGGTTCACTTGAAGAAAGCCAAGCGTGGGCTGCCATGGTTGGATCCACAATTGGAGGAACGCTGATAGCTTTGGCTGTGCTTGTTCTGCTGCTTGTACTTTTCCAGCACCGAAGGCAGAGAAAAGGTTTTGAACCACTGATGAATGTGAGATTCAGCTCCAAAAAGTACATGGAAGAGGCCTAGTGCCTTGGCTTTGTTCCCTTGCTCATTCTGCTGAGAAGTGACCTTGATTGATTTATTCAAATCTGAGCAGAGTTTAGCCAACCTTATCACACACACCTTTGGCAGCTGACTACATTGTTCTCTTTCAGTTTTTCCAGTTATCTTGTGAATTGTGATATATGAAGTCTCTGGGTACATATGTGCAAGGCCCAAGAGAGACCAGAGTTTTCTCATTACCAAACATTATCTGGAGTGTGTGACACTTAAAAGTCATCAAATCTCTATAGAGTTAGATCGAGACGGTTAAGAATCAAAATAGAAGAAAAACATCTTGAATTAGCGAGATTTTTTTTTCTGCTCAATTTCGTTTTGATTTCATTTAGCAGCCCTGTGATGTGCTGAAAGTTTTAAACTCTACATATACATTTGAATAGCTTATTATTTTATGGTTATCAATAAATGTTCTAAAGAATGTAGTTCATTTGCAGGGGCTTAAAAATGTTTTGTGCAATGTGGCAAAATACTGTGGGAACCCCATGGTTTTGTTCCAGGTGCACAATCATATCATTTCACAGAATCATACAATCGCAGAACGGGCTGGGTTGAAAAGGACCACAATGATCATTGAGTTTCAACCCCCCTGCTATGTGTAGGGTTGCCAACCACCAGACCAGGCTGCCCAGAGCCACATCCAGCCTGGCCTTGAATGCCTCCACGGATGGGGCTTCTACAGCCACCTTGAACAACCTGTTCCAGTGCCTCACCACCCTCTGTGTGAAAAACTTCCTCCTAGTATCTAACCTAAACCTCCCCTGTCTCAGTTTAGAACCATTCCCCCTTGTCCTATCACTATCCATTTCATACGATTCCGTATTTTGTTTCTGATCCAGCAAATGTTAGCAGTTGGTAAGCATCCAGACTCAAATTCTCCTAAAATTTGTTTAGAAGCAGGAGTTCCCTTGCAGCTAGATAGATATTTGTGTTTTAATCCTGTATTAGGAACCTGTAACAGAAGCTGAAAATGGTGCTTGTCCCTCTCTATTTTAGCTCTTCTACACTGTTTCATGTATCTAGACCCAAATACTTTCAAAAACCTGGGATGCAGAACTCAAGGTAACAAACGGAGATAGCCCCTGTTAAGTGGGCCTGCAGAGAAGGGTCTGAGTATTGCACTCCCTAAACTGCCATCTTAAAGATTTCTTTATAAATGTCCGCTATATTTCTTTATTAAACACAGGTTTGGGTCACATTTGGGTGGCTCTCCTATGTTTTTTTACAAAACAACTGAAGTCCTGAACAGATTGTGTCAGATTTGGTGCTTGATGCCTTGTATTAACAGGATGCTCTGATTTTCTATTTTCTACAGAGTGTAATACTTGAGTCTAATAAAAATACTGCTTTGGTAGCCTTGAATAAAAAATCCAGTTAATAATGATTTCTATGAGAGTTCTTCGAGGCCTCATTTTAATAATAATTCGTACAGTTGAAGCGAGCTGTACAGAGAGCACGGCCTGCCCTCTGGCGGCTCACCGGGAAATTACCTGGAGGCAGGAGAAAGCTGGTATAGTCCAGATGGAACAGCACGCAGGGTCGTGTCCTTGGTGAAAGGAAGAAGCAAAGGTAAACTTCATGTAAAATGCTTAAAAAGAAAAAAGGTTGAGCATGCAAAAAGGATGGAGGAAATCCTGTAGCAAGCGTGATTTGAAGGTTGGTTTAATATTTGTTACTGTTCCATCGATGCTAAAATATAGAAAATATGTTTTTCGATGCAGGTGTTAACAAATATCTTCAATATCTTCAATCTATCATTGTAAGTTGTATTGAAGCTGTCTTGGCAGGATGGAGCGAGTCTCTTCTGTCCCATGAGAGGAGATGAAGTCTCCCATAGACTCCTCAACTGAGCAAACAATTCTGAAAATACACCACATCCAGTGTCCAGAGCCCAGGACGCCCAGGGGTTTTGGCTGAGCAAATCATTGCAAAGCTTGACCTCAGCTCACGGGGCTGGCTTGGTTGGGGTGCTGAGGTGGTGCTGGATGGAGTGTCCCACCCTGCCTTCACATCCCAGCACTGCCAGGGCGTGGACACCAAAATGTGGACAAGGAGGGGTCCAGCTGGTGAGCATCACTGTTGCCCATCCTACCTCTGCATGTTGCTTTTTCCTCTCATGTCCATAACTGAGCAACCCCCAGCCTAGCCCAGTAAGGGGCACTTCCACCTCCGTGGTTGCTCTCTGCAGGTGGCAGAAGGGAGATGCACTCTGGGATGCCTTCAAGCTGAGGTGGGTGCATACATCACTTCCCACCCACCTTCCTCTCCACCTTTCAAGATAACCCCTGCTGAATGTCTTATTTCTGACAAATGGCTCTGGATCACACAAGGTTATGTAACATGCAGCTGCAATGTTTAAGTTCCAGAGAGAGAGAATTACTCAAAAACATCCCTTTCTCAGCCATTTTATTAGCTAGACCTGTGCAGCTTCCAGCTCTGCGTGCTAGGCTTTTGAGTGGATTATCCTTCTGAGAAGTTGAATTCTCTCTAGTCAATAGTAATTGCTCTCTCAGTTGAGTGTGTAGGTTCTGTGGGCAGCTAATGCCTTGCTCTGAATCACCAGTGGGTCAGGTGTCTAATTCTTCAGCTCTGCTGTAAGCTGGTGGTGGCCACATCATCTCTGTCAGGCATGGCCTGCGCTTTTGTGCAAAAGCTTATCATGAACATTCTCTGAAGGAATTAGTGAGAGCTTAAGTCTCATTGCTGGCTGTTCAGCTGATTGCTCAAAGAGGAATTTGCTCTGATTCTGCCCCTGATCTAGGAAAGAAGCAATGTAAAGCAACCACATCTCGTGACTGTTACTGTAAAATTGTAAGTTGCAATGCTTTTACTGACCTTCTATTAACTGCTTAATTTACTTTGCTTTTGAGAGAGATTTTTTGTACCTGTGGAAAGAAAAAAGAAAGAAGTGAGGAGATTCCAAAGCCATCAGCTAAACTTAATAGTGAAGATACACACAGAACCTACCACGTAGACTGCTGACAACTAATAATTCTGAAGTACCTCCTTGACTTTTTATCAGTGGCATGCGGCCTGTTAAGTGCCCTCCACACTACTGTGTGGTTATAGTTGGGTTACGAACAAGGTGGGTTCTATGATCCTGCTCTATTTCAGTGCTCCTGCAGCTAAGACACAGCTCAGTATCTGTAAGGTATTCATTACCCAGATTTCTTTGTTAAAATTAGCTTTCTAAGACCTAAGTGGACAGAAGAGGTGGTACCAGTGCTGGCCATCTTTACATACTCCTTTTTTGGGACCTTTTCCTTGAAAGAGCATGAACACCTAAAGCTACCTCTGCACTGTCTTGCAGAGTAAGCCCATGTATAAGCTATTGTACAGATCCAAAATCACACTCTGATACTAGCAGGGGAGCCTCCAAAGAAGAAACATGAGAAGAAAACGTGACCATCAACTTAATAGGTCTCCAGATATTCACCTAACAGTAATACCTGCAGGTCTGATTGATGTAGAATCACAGAATTGTTTGAGTTGGAAGGGATCCCTAAAGGCCATCTAGTCTAACTCCCCTGCAGTGAACAAGGACACCTACAGCTAGATCAGGGTTCTCAGAGCTACATCCAGCCTGATCTTGATTTTCACTTGTGCTCACAGCAATGCTACCATCACTCCCTCAAAGTGCCCTGATGCCACCCATGTGTAAAGACAGATGGATTTGCAAACTAAGCTAATAAATGTCATGATGAGAGTGAGCGATGTGTCCATTACGAAGAGCAGCTCACCCTGAATGTACCAAACTATTCAGCAGAGGGAATAAGTGGTCAGATCTCACCCAGAGCAGAAGGTCCCTTCCTATTCACCTCTCCTTTCAGTGCCTTGCTGCCTCTGGCCTGTTGACAAACCCATGAACTCTGGAGCAACTTCATTAGGCAGAATGGAAAGAAATCAGGTGCTGACTCCAACACTTGCCTTTGACAGCACTTTTGAGAAGTGCCAGAATAAAGGAGGCAGAAACTTTATCTGCAGCTCAGATGAAGTCTTTTCAACCCTTATCTCTGCCCTCAAGCTTTCTCACAGACTAGATAAAAAAGCTTTTTCAGCACTGTGGTGGGGGCTGTGGTAGGTCTCCTTCTGTGGTTCCTGATTTTCTGCGGTCATGTCGCAGAGAGCTCTGCTGACGCTTTGAATTACATTAGATGGATTGATGCTTGGCAGGGTAAGGCAAGATTACAGAATGCTCTTCTAATTCAGGAAACACAATTCCTTCTCCTCCAGCTGTACCATGTGTAGGAAAGTCCTGCTTGAAAGAGCTGTCCATGATGCTAAAGCTGTGCTTCAGGAGCACCTCTGGGTGACCGTGTGCCTACTGCTTCTCTGTCTCCTGTACTGAGACGATAAAAGTGCTCAGCTTTTTGAAGATGTCAGAAGTGGTACAAAGGACAACTCCAGGTTTGGCAATGGGAAAATCAGAAAGTATCATCAAGGAAGCTGGGTTATATATCCAGTCTTCTCTCATGGAACTGCTGAAATATTCAGTGATGTGGTCACAATGTCCTGTCCCATGGCTTCTTTCACTTGGTGATTCCATTGCTGTGCAGGCTCCTAGGCCTGATTCCCTGTCATCTCTTGAGTGACCACCCAGTCTCTTTACAGGTTCATTCCTTCCTTTCTGCCTCAGAAGAAAATCCCCTGAGGTTTCACTGTTTGATTTTTTTAATTACATATATCTATATATCTTTTTTCTGGGTGACTTTTGCTTAAAATATCTTTTCTTTCAGCAACTTTTTTTTTTTTTTTTTAAACACAGATGCATTATTACTCAGCTATCTGTAACAGTTTCACAGTTACCTCCTCTGCCAGAGTTAACTGAAAAACACGTAACATGTATTGCCAGGGATAAGGTTGATGACTGCCTTCCTTTGGGCTGGCTGCCATCGATCTCAGGCAGAGCCTGAAGTGCTTATTACATTTTGCTGGCTGGTTTCTTTCTCATTTTTACTGCAGAATTTCAGTCTCCATAAGGGATTTTACCAACACATCTTTCCAGCCCATGCTTGGTGCCTGCTCAGGGCAGGGAGACCTGGCTGAAGAGCTGCTTCTGTCTATGTTGGCTCCCCTTGGGTGCATGTTGTGGAGAGACGGTGTGCTCAGCCCTCGCAAATGCATGTCAAATTC